TGGACGTCACCATATTCCATTTTTTCATCCTGAAATTGTGGAAGCACAAAATACCATTTTTTGCCATTCCTGGACTGGCAAGAACTCCCCACCCCCTTCCAGAAATAGGCAGGGGGGTGACACAAACACCCCCCATATACTCCCACCCCAAATGCTACAGTGAAACATCCGGATCACCAGAATTTGGTATTTTTTCTTTCTTGTTCACTGCACTGAAATAGAAAACAGATCAAGTGATCTCTAAAAGATGACAGGGTGATCTGGATGTTTCATGGGATTAAATTTTTATGGTCAGTCAGGCATTTCGTCTAGTAAAAGGCCCATCTGGAGGCAGTCAAAGGTCTCTTCAGCTAATTAAAGGAGGTCGGATGGCCTGACAATTAAGGGGATCCACAGCTGGCTTGAAAGTCTTCCTCAAGGAGTGCCCGTTGATGGTTCCTCATCAGGTGGAAGGTATCAGGTGGGGTGCTAGAAGAATCAGCCCTGCATCCTCTATTCTTCAAAATTCCCTTTAATGACTTGGAAGAATAGGTAGAACGTTATCACATTTGCAGAGAATCTGGAACTAATATCTTCAAAGAAAAAAGTAAAATTCAGAATGGGCTGAGCGCCATAGAATGAAATGGAAGAGAGACTTGAAACAAAACAGTGCCAGGAAGGATTGGAAATCTCCAATGAGATACTAAAGGCACAATCCCATCGGTCTGAGTATTTTAATGGATGGTGCACTAAGCAGGTGGTTAGACTAGTTGACCTCTGAGGTTCCTTCCAATGTATGATTCTAAGTGCAATGTTCTTCACTTGGGAAACAAAAATCAAAGGTGCAAGTATTGGGTGAGAGGTACTTGACTTGCTAAAAAGATGTTGTAATAGGGATTGATTGGAGATTGAATATCAGCCAGAAGCATGAAGTACCTTCAAAGAAGGCATGTTCTGTACAATTTTAGACTGCATCAAATCAACTATCATGTCCAAATTCTGTGGGTATTTTTCTTGCTGTGTTCTGCTATGATCAGAGCCTGTTCTGGGAAAGACCCATTAATGCAGATTCAGAGCAATTGGAAAAGGTTCACAGTGGAGCAACAAGGCTGATCAAGGACTAGAAACTGAATCCTCTGTAGATGAAGAGAAGGAGCTCAGCATGTTTAATCTTGAGAACAGGGTGGTGGTGCTGGGGTGTGTGACAGCGTTTTTCGAACAAGTGGAAGGCTGTCACAGAGATGGAGGACAAGATCTTTTGTCCCTCATTCCTGAATGCAGAGCATGGATTTAAATTAGAACAAGGCCTTCCCTGGGTCCTCCCCCTAACCCCAGTGTGTGTGTGAGGCAAGAGGATTCCCACCTCCTGGGTTGCCTTCCTGGCAGTTAAAAGCTTCAAACGCAGAAGCTGAAACAATTTCTATCA